AATCAAGAAAATACAAATAAAGGCTATTTTACAAGCCACCCGAAAACAAAATTTATAAATTTAGAAATAAAGCTCCTATTATTGCTCATATTTAATGTAAATATGCACATTTGTGTGCGAATGAATATAGGTAAAAACGCATAAATGAAAACATATTTAAATTAAAAATTTTTAATTTGTTTCCACTATACTTTAGACATAATACTATCACCATATGGTAAAAAGTACGCATCATACTATGAAAAGCAAATTTTAGACATAGAACATCAAAAATTATATGAAAAAAAACCCATAGTCTTGAAAAAAACTGTATGAAATAAAATGAGGTCTCGTATTTTCTTATTTCTATGAATATATATATAAAATATAAATATCAAAGAAAATGAACTTCTGATTTTTTAGTTTTATTTAGAATGAATATTTTCATAAATATTATTTTGCTTATAAATATTCAATTGAAATATATAATATTTTTATAAAATATTGTGGTAAAAGTAGCCCATAAACATATTTTTCTCAGATATAAAAAGTTTATTTTCACACTAAAATTTCCTCGTGTATTGACGCTTTTGAGTCTGTAAATGAGACGAACTCGACCTATATATGAGGAATCCGCTGAAAAAACTGTAAAAAGATATCAAAGCGTAAAACAGTAACTGTATGACTTACCTTGGCACTAATAAGTATAATTCTTAACGTAAAACTTGTATCATAATCTTTTCATTATTGTTAATTCCTTGCCACACAACCAAGTCACTGTTCGAGAATAGCACATACCTAACATATTTACGATTGCATAAAAATCTCTTATGTTCAAAATATATCTTTATTGTATAAAATCTAAGAAATTAGTATTATGTAAAGTTTATATTTCGTTTTAATTCCAAAATATGAAGCATAAAAATCTTTATATAGAATTAAGTGCTTTTTATGCAAAATTTATCGTTTCACATTATTATGAGCGCGAGTATATTAAGGATTTACGGTCTATCTTTGATTAAAACATTCTGATTCTTTTTTAAAAGATGAAATGAAAAGTTTATTTCGGTAATCTAAGACAATAAAATGCAATATGAGTGTTAAAAATTGGTAAATTGTACTTTTGTGCATTACCAATCGAGAATTTAGATTAATAATATAAATTTATCCGATACCATCAGCAATAATTGTGAAATTGTTTGTCTTATAATAATATTCAGTCATATTTAAGAAAGATTTGAATTATAATGTCGTGTTTTTCATTATTACATTCATATTAGTTTCGTGTTTTTTTCAGAAAAAAATACTTGATTACTTTTTTTCAGTTTGTGAATGCATTGCAAAAAACATTAAAAACATCTTGTGTTTGGATAGAAATAAAATTTTATCATTTAATTTGTGCTAATTAGTGACAAATAGTTGCTATAATATAAATAAAAAATTATTTTTGATACATCAAATAATATTTATTTTGTGTAAAATTGCAGTTTGTCACTGGTGATAGTAGATATTCAAAAGGAATAGTAAATAAAGTAAAATTTTTATAATTCAGAAAGATTGTATTGGAACCTTTGTAGAAAAATAAATGTACTCCATATGTGTAGTAATGGCTTTTCCTTTACAAATCCTTCTTGCGTAACCTAAACTTTTCTTATGTTTCAATTTTCCATATATTTTTATGTCTTCATAGTAGATAATAATTGCTGAAAATCTTGTAATTGATATAATATATCTATGTTGAATTTATCTTCTGTATATGTCATGGCAAAAAAAGAAAGGTTTTTTTCAGTAAAACTTGATATTGTTCTTGGATATAAAATTTTATACTTAGATGTTTATAATTAGTATAAATTTATATTTTTTGAAAAAAATTTTTAAAAAGTACGATTGATAACTTATAATAAAGATTTTGTTTCTTTCATTTATATTTTTCAATCTATATAAGAATTTGTATGTTTAATAAGTGTTGTACAATTTGAATGTTAGAAGTAGTTTTGGTAAGATTAATTCAAATATATATGGTCTTAATAAAAACAGAAATGACATCAAAAAAGGAATGATAAAGAATAAACATATCCATTTGAAAAACAGTGGATGTTGATAAATCTTTCAACAGAAACGTATATTTATATATAAATTCGTATGTATTATTTACAAGAATATCAATATTTGCAAAAATTTTAAATAAAAAATGCTTATTTTATTGTTGTGAAACAATTTTTTGATATTGAATTCTGCAGTAAAAACTTATGATTCAACTCACAAAAAAATTTCTATTAATATAGAACGTTGATAGAATTATTTCACACTTTCACTCGTTCGCCGTCGGCTTTCGAATTTTCAAAAATATACGAGAACAATTTATTAAAATAATTCTAGAAAATTTCATTACTATTTATGATGTACATATTCGGCAGAAAGGTCGAGCATTATTCAATTGTAATATTTTTACTGAAATATTTTCTAGAATTTTTTTCAAATACAAAAAAACTTAATTAAGTCGCAACTATTGCTAGAAGTGTTTGTGTTCTTTAGTAAGACACAATTGGTTTTTTCAGAAATTTGCAAACGATTTTCTATTTACATTCTTTATGTATATATTAAAAATACAGATCTTTATTGAATAATATATTTATATAAAATTTACCATGTATGCAGTGTAAATGCAAACAAATTACATAAAAAAACATATATTCGAAATAGTTTTATGTAAATTGAGCTATTTCTAACTCATTTAATGGGTAAACTGTGCCTTTTACGCATTTGAAATAAAAATATTGTGTACAAACGGTTTATATTAAGAAATAAATAAAAAAATACAGTAAAATCAATAAAATAAAGTATATTTTTGCAAACTTAAACGAGTCTTATCAAAAGTTAGTAGTTAAGGGAACTTTGTAAGTTATATTATTTAAAATATCTGACAATTTATATATTAATTTTTTTCTAGATCCAAAATATTGCCGAAAGTTCGAATAAAAAATTACACCACAGGTATAATACATTTCTTTTGATTCTCTAAAAACCGTCAATACTGTTTTAAGATTTAGTTAAATCACTTTTATAATGCTCAGAAAAATTAAAACAAAATTAAACACATAAAGTATAATTTGCTTGATTTTGGATATAAAAAATGTCTTTTATAATTTTCACAGACATAAAGAAATACCTCCACAAGAAAAGAAGCTGATATTGTTTAACAATAAAAATTTTCGCTATTGATATTATGTTTTATTTTATTATTTTTTTCGCGATATAACCAAATTTCTTCATATTACCGACATAAACATGTTTTCTTTAAAAAATAAAAAATTGATTTCTACCAGCGGATGTTGAAAGCGTTAAGCGCAATAGGATAATTTCTGCTGTATTAATGAGCTGCGATCGGATTCTGATTTAATAGAAAGCTAAATTACTTTTCTTTTTCTAAATCTGATTTAAATTGGATAATTCTATATATCCGATAAAAAACGGTACAAAAAAACATCTTAAATCTTTCAAAAGTTCTATTAGTTCAAAACCAAGCGCTAAAGTTGCAGCACGTATAATAAAAATTTTTTATCTAGATTCAGCAGCCAAAAACAATAAAAAATCATAATTTGAAAATATACTAAGCAAAATTATAATTATCATACCAAAATATTCCAACTTTATTCACTTTTTGATAATACATTTATACTCTATGTTTTTATCAAAGCATGATAGTATAATTTTCTGTTCTTTTAGAATTTTTTACATAAAGTAGTTGAAATATTTTCGCACAACTTAGTCGGTGTTAATTAGAGTAAAAATTTTATGTTTAAATTTAAAAAATTTCTCCAAAATTCTTAATATTTGAAAAGGCTGTTTTTTGTATCGTACCTCGGGATAAAATGAGTTATATGCAAGTTTTTAAAGAAATTGCAATTTAATAAATCATTAACAAGAAATTTAAATCGTATTTCAATTTTAAAAATGCTTGATATAAAATAATACCGATTAACTTAGCGATAATAAATAGAAATTACATATTCGACATAAATATATAAATATCTTTGTGTTAAGATACAGTAAGAATTCCGTTTAATGTATGATTAGGAAATAACAACAATATAAACAAATTTAAGAAAAATTTTTCTGCTGTTTTGAAAAAATGGCTTGTTTGGGATCGAAACATTAAAATTAAAGAAAACATATTCCGAATAGGATAATTTTCAAAAAAAAAGTAGTGAAAAATAAAATTTAATTGTTGAACTATATTTTTTTCAGTTTTTTTGGGATGTATTGAATAAATCTATTGTAAGAATCTCGTTTTTTGTTTAGTTTTATAAGTGAAGAATTCGAGTTATAACATATTTATATTTTTAATTAAAAAAATATTCATCGCTAAAACTTAAAAAATGTAAAATGTCGACAAAACATTTGAATTTCTAGTAATAATATCGTTTATGCGCTAAACTGTTTTGATATATCATAAAAGATTAACTTGTTTATTGTGGTTAACTGAAATGATAAAATACATATTTTACTACAAAGTTACTATTATATAGAATTTTTCGTCTTTTTATTTCTTTTTTAAACAAAATATCTAATGATTGCACAATCATATTTACAATTGTAATATTAATTCTTAATTTATGCATATTTTAAATAAAAACTTTTTTATATAAAATATTTTTATTTATCAAAAAATTGAATCATGCGAATTAGTTCGATTACCCAACCTTTTTTGGGTTTTCCCAAGTTTGAAATTATTTTTTTATACTACTAAAAAAGATTTTAGCTTCATCCAATCAACATATATGGATAATAAAATACGCTTTGAAACTTTCTTTGTAATATTTGCAATATAAAAAAATTTTTTTACTTCCAAAAGAGGACGAATTGAATGAAATTTAATATATTTTTTACTATAACTGATTTAATTTGAGAATTTACTTTTTAAACTGAAATTTATACTATTCTTACTTGTATAAAACTCATTCATACATTTTAACGTACTCGAACTATTTTACTATTTAAAATAATTCATTTTTTTGTTTGCTGCAGTCGTCTAATGGGTAAGACTCTGCGTGATGCATGCGGTTATCTAGGTTCGAATCCTGGTTGCAGCATTTTTTATATTTTTTTTGTTCTATGAAATTAATCGGTTTTTTGTTTTATCTATGATTGAAATATTTGAAAGTTTTGGAAAATGCTAAAATGCAACAAAATTATCAAAAAACAATTGAAAATACATTGGAAAATTAATAACAACAGTATTCATTAAGGGCTAATTAAAAAAAATCTAAAAGTAAAAAATTTTCATTTGTAATTAACAATTTCTTATGCTCTTAAAGTAACAAATAATATTTATTGTGTTGCATTTGATTGTAAAAAGCTAATAAATATTTATGGTGAATAAATAATGTGAGGCGTTAAATAAATCTCTTGATTACTAAGAATACGTGTATATATGTTGAAATGAATTGATTAAAATATTTTTTGTTTTATTTTGTTAATGAACTTATCAGAAACAAATGAATTGTATTATTTTAGATTTAATGAATTCTTTTGATTTCATATTTTGGTTAAGAATCATCTTAAAAAGTTTTCAAATAGAATTTTTTGCAACTTGGCAGAATTTTTTAGGTTTAAATTTGCTTTTTTCTCAATCAAATGAATAATATCATGGTGAAATAAAATTTCGACAACAATTTATTTAGTAAAATAAATATAAACTGCAACAAAAAAAACTTTTGTAATAATCTATTTTATATGAATTAAAAGTAAAGACTGCAATACTAAGCAACATTTAACTGGTTGTGTGATAATTCAGCCACATTTATTTTTTTGTGCAAAAAAAATCTATTTAATTTTCCGCGAAAAACATTTATTGATAATAAAAAAGTAGCATCAAAAAACATTAAAAAAAAAGAAATGTAAAACAAACAGTTTCAAAAGCACACGAGCAACACAAAATATTGAAAATATCGACGTTAAATTCTTTTACTTTTAACAATAAAAGTAATTATTCAAGTTCATTAATAAATCAGGTGGGACTTATCATCATTGGGAAGAAATTAATTTATTGTTGTTGGCCAATTTCTTGATAGTAAAATTTAGAAAAAAATATGGCTAATTTTGCTATAATAAAAAGACAAAGGAATCATATAATAGTATATTTATAATCATTTTGAAATTGTGTTTGCGTATCCGCTTGAAAAACGCTATTATTGTTATATAATACAAAAAATTTTCATCTGTCCTATTATTATTGCGATAATTAAATATTTTCTAAATTTTAAATTACTTCTAAATGTAAATGATGTATGATGTAAATTTTTTTTTGTTAAAAAACCAATTTTTGATAGTTTTAGAATAATTTTTCAAATTGTGTTGCTTACTAGTGTCAAATCAAATTTATTTGAATAGGAAAGTAATCTTTTAACAAATCATCAAATTAGATTAAAAAGTTATAACGTAAAGAATTAATTAATTAATAATTTTATTTTTGTGACACTATTTATTTAATATCAATAAAGATGTTTTTAAGTAATCAATTTAGTTTTTAAAGATATTTAAAGTATTTAATTAATGAAATTGTATTAATTAAGAACTAAACTTTAATATTGATCGAATGAATTATTATTTTTATATATAGATTGATATTAAAGCATATATGCCTTTTAAGAAAGTAAATAAAAATAAAAAGAAATCATCAAACAAGCTTTTTCCAATAAACTGTATTATAGTTATTTGAATTAACTAAAAATCTATAGAATTGTGTCAAATAAGATCAAATAAACTAAAGTAAGAATAATATCAATTTATAAACTGTTACCAAAAAAAAACATTCAAATAACTTTATCCACAATATGTTGGCATATAAAAATGTGTAGTTAACATTTTTTATGGTAGTGTTATTCAAAATATATCTGCAAAGGTATAGATAAAACACAATTTCCTTAATTTTTACGCTATTTCTAAAATAATATCTACCTTGAACATTTAAAGTTATGGATTTGATTGACCAGCATATTGTTCCAGACCTAGATATGATAATTTTTGCTAAATAACTGATTGTCTCGGACATTATCACTAATATTCTTTGCTTAGAGATAACCTTTTACCTTTTAAGAAGTTGTATTGTGTTAGAACATGAATATTTATTAGTAATAACTATGTTCTTATAATATATAAATATACAAAACAAAAAAAATATTATTTTGCAGAAAAAACATATAAGTGATAATCTAACATAGAAAAAAACAAATTTTTGTTGAATATGCAGGTACAAAAAAGCCACAAATCTTTTAATATCATCTTAGAATTATATTTAATGTATTCATTATTTTAAAAAAGCATGATCCATTAATTCTTAACTATAAAACCTATTTTTAACAAAATTATAGTTTACAAAATTTTTGTAAAATTATAATTTTGATTTTTTTAGTAGATTTTATCATGATCACTTTTTATGTTGATTTGAATAAAATTGACATGTAACATTTTAAATTATTAGAAGCGTAATTTAAGTTGGTCTTAAAAAATTGATTTTGTTGATTATTAGACAAGGTAGATTTTGATGATTGATTTTAATTTTATTAAGATTCTTAAAAGGCATACTTGCCCTATAATCAATCTAATTATAGTAATAATAAATTATATTATCAATTATATTATTATTTTCTTAACCAATACATATTCAATAATTAAATACCGTAATAATTATTAAAAAAATATATTGAGAAATACATATAAATTTTTTATCAACATCATATTATTAAAAAATTTATTTATTCTGTTATCAAATTTCAATCTTAGTTATTAATTTGTTATGAATTGATTATTCTTATCAAATTAAATTATTTTAACACTAATAAACGATATTTATGTTACCAAATCATGGTATGATAAAGAATGTAACATGATGTTGTCTCATCGGTAAAACAATATATAAGAATATTATATTTTTTTTTAAAAAAATGTGCACAAAAAACAATTCTTACATATAGTTTAAATAGCAATAATTTCCAAAAATAAAACATTATGTAAATATATTTCCTCTAAAAAGATAAATACAATAGAGAATT